TGTGGTAGGGAAAAGGGCCAGGAGGAGGGCTGGTGAGAGAGCCAAGCTGGTAAAGCACTTGTTGCACGCACAAGCATGAGGACCTGAGTTCCACCTCCAGAACATAAGTAAAAAAACCCAGTGCAGTGGTGTGTGCGGGCACACCCAGTACTGGAAAGCTGAAACAGCTTGGAGCATGCTGGTCTTGTGAGTTCCAGGTGAGAGACCCTGTCGTAGAAACAAAAACAAACAAACAAAAAAATCCCCAAAACCAACCAACCAACCAACCAACCCTAAAATCGAAGTAGACAGTTCTTGAGGAATAATAATTGAGGTTGATTTCAGGCCTCTGGGTGTTCTCTCTCTCTCTCTCTCTCTCTCTCTCTCTCTCACACACACACACACACACACACACTCACAGGCAGAAGGAAATATAAACAAAAGCCCTCATGCCTGAGATGAGGAGACTATAGGCAACTTTATGTTTCCCCAGTTTTTCAGGCTACCATAATCTATGAGTCCAGTGAAATCTGGCTTAAGACCAGGACACTGGCATTCTTCTGGCTCCCTGCACAGACTGACATAGAGAGAAGAGGAACTGAGTGGGTGGATCCTGAATGGAGGGCCTGGGGTTGGAGCTACAGCCTCTGCTGCAGGCAGTTGTACCATGGAGGGAAGAGCTCTTTGCCAGTCATGTAGCCATCTATCCTCTGAGCCCCAAATGAACACCAATGCACAACACAGCCCCTCATCCCAGACCCACTGGAGTCAGGGGACCTGATTCATTGCTGGGCAGTGGTAGTTCAGGCACACACCCCAGCTGCTTGGTTGGCCTCGTGTCCCACTGCAGCTCCAGTTCTCAGCATCCAGTTAAGCTCTGCTGGGCCCAGACATGCTAGACCTAACAAAGTCCCTCCCTTTCTCAGTCAGGAAAGAGGTAAGCCACTTGACCTGGCAAGTTCACCATGTCACCTGTAGACTCTGTGAGAGCTGTGGATAGAATGCTCACTCAGCCTAGGGACTGCTGAGGATGTGACCGTTTCACCTCTTGGCCTTCTCAGGTACCCCAACAGGAAGGAGCCCAAGAAATGACAAAGATGACATTTATAGGTGCAGTAGCTACTGCCAACATGCCGTATGTTGACTGTTTGGCACTGTCCTGTAGACACCATGTTGAGAACTCTGCTTTAGCAGGGAGGGCCCAGTACCTGTCTAACTTACAAGATGGGAACACTGTCTTATCGTCAGATCTGAAGTGCATGACAGCTTCTCTGAGAGCCCACCCCAAAGGGAGGGCTGCTACAAGACGGAAAACTGATTTCTGTAACATGTCTCCGGTAGAGGCTTGCGTCCAGTACCAGCAATGGTCGATTCAGGGCATACTATTCTGTCCCTCCCTTTGCATTCCTGGCCTGTGACTGGCAGAGGTCGTCTTTGGCTAGCAACACCCCTGGCCAATAACTGAACCACTGAAGCTCTCTGTGAATGAGTCAAGTATCTGTGTTAATGTTGCTGATTACGTAGCTCTGCACAGGGAAACCCATTTTTTAAAATTTATTTATTTATTTATAATTTATTTATTTTTTTGGAAACCCATTTTTGAATGTGCCCTGAGACATCAGGTGGAAGGCTGTGTGCCCCAGTACTGTGCAGACTGTGGCAGAGTACTGGCACCCAGGGAGAGGAGACTGGGGGTACTGGAAAGTACTCTCAGTGCACAGGGCATCCCCATGACAAAAGGACCCAGACCCAAAGTCAAGATTGCCAGTTTTTGGTAAGACCAGATGCCAAGTACAAGTTACTTCTTTTCACCATCCAAGGACAAGCCTCTAGGCTGGGACAGAGAGTGAGCAGTAGGGAGTATACTGGGGCTTCTACCACTATTTGTCTTCCAGTAAGACCTTGCTGGGGGACAGAAGTAACATTGCTTAAAAGCTGTTCCGAAACTAGCATTTTGAACACACCAAAGTAAACGGCTATACAGAGAAAGCATTTAGAACAATGTCCCACACTGCACAATGTTCAATGACTATTACACTCTGTTATTATTCAACATTCTCAAATTGTGGTGCACTCTGCCCAGTCTCTGTGACTTAGCACTCTCTGTTCCTTCTATCCTGGATGGTGATTTTCTTCCTTCTGTTGCCTGGGGAACTTCCTCATCACCTCCCATTCTCCTCTGGAATGGGAGGGTCATGCTTTTTATCCCATGAACCCTCAGAAGCTAGCCCTGAAGCCTTCTATACCAGACTGCTCCTGGGAAGGAACTAAAACCAGTGTCCTGGGTTCAGGGGTCCCCAAGACACAGGCCATAGCTGGAACACAGGAGGGGATTGTGCATGAAGTTTTGAGGAAGCAGCAGTTCCTCCCTCTTGGTTTATCTCCATAAGCACATTGAGGGTAGGACATGTCCAGCCAGTCTCTCCCTTGTGTGGCTGGCTGGCTCAGGCCTTGGCCTTGACTTCCAAAGGTATCAGATGCCCTCTCTACACATTCATGTGGCCCAGTGATGAGCTGTGATCCACCAGTGACCATGGACCTGGCTTTGGCACATAGGTGAGACTGGATCCCAGGCTCCGACTTTACCTGTTTAACACCAGTCATCATGGGCACTGATGCCATGACAGGACACATTGTCTGCTGCATGCCAATGGGCACAGTCTTGGGAGCCATGTCACCTTTTCAGGAAACCTTCCAATCCTCAGATTCAGTCAGGGGCCTTGCTGTGAGATGTTACAACACCACATACCTTCCTGCTCAGCATTAACATGGCTAGTGGCAGTGCAAACATGAGGACACCTACACATGGTCTGTCTTCACACTTGCTACAAGCTAACCAAGTGTCCCTACACTCATACAAACAAACAGATCCCCAGGCCCCTCAGCCTTTAAAGAGATCAAGTTACAATGAGGTTGTTTTTTTAATTTTTTTTAAATTGATATTTATTGAGCTCTACATTTTTCTCTGCTCCCCTCCCTGCCTCTCTCCTCCCCTTCAACCCTCTCCAGAGGTTCCCATGTTCCCAATTTACTCAGGAGATCTTGTCTTTTTCTACTTTCTACTTCCCATGTAGATTAGATCTATGTAAGTCTCTCTTAGTGTCTTCATTGTTGTCTAAGTTCTCTGGGATTGTGGTTTGTAGGCTGGCTTTCTTTGCTTTATGTTTAAAAACCACCTATGAGTGAGTACATGTGATAATTATCTTTCTGTGTCTGGGTTACCTCACTCAAAATAATGTTTTCTAGCTCCATCCATTTTCTTGCAAAATTCAAGATGTTATTTTTTTCTGCTGTGTAGTACTCCATTCTGTAAATGTACCACATTTTCCTTATCCATTCTTCAGTCGAGGGGCATTTAGGTTGTTTCTTGATTCTGGCTATGACAAACAAAGCTGCTATGAACATAGCTGAGCATATGTCCTTGTGGCACAATTGAGCATCCTTTGGATATATACCCAAAAGTGGTAATACTTACAATGAGATTGTTAATGATAAGTTCTAATAAACTGCTGTCTACACAAGATTAAGACAGATACAGAGAAATGGCTATGCAAAGACACAAAGAGAAAGGACATTGGTAAGCCAAAGAGAGACTAGCCTTGCCCACTCTCTGATCTTGGATTCCCAGCTCCAGACTTCCAGAGCTGTGAAAAGTTCAACCGGTGATGTTGTGGAACTGTTGGGGGGCCTGATGAGAAGTTTACCATCTTCAAGCACCCTGAACAAGTCACTCCAGCTGTGTTCACTTTGGTAGTCCCGGAGCCTAGCACAGGGATGACACAGTGGGGACTTAAAAAGCACTGCAGAGTAGATAGAAGAATAGGCACTGTGTATGCAGCTGGCTGTACATGAGAGTGGTCCTTCTCTCTGCTGTGGGCCTACCTGTTGCTTCCTAGCCCCATAAAAGGGAGGGGGGGAGAGGGAGGGAGGGAGGGAGGGAGGGAGGGAGGGAGGGAGAGCTGCCTTCCTTTGTGAGAGGGGAATGTTATCTGTGGCTTCTGGTCTCCTAGCCTTACCTGAGGTGTGGCCAATGAGCCCTATTTCCTGGCCTGAATCAGGGCTGATTTAGCCAAAAAAATTAGAGAGAGCTATATGAATTCTGTGTGCTGTCAGAGATGGGTCCCTGTAAATACTTCAACTTCGTTCAGCTGAAAATTGTCAAAATACAAAATATGTGGGGGTAAAAGTCTGAGGATCATAATGTATTACTTACTACAAACAGAGCCCTCAGTGCCTCGGGTGCCATAAGGTTACTGCCTGTAACCTGTGTACTACCTGTTCAACCTCCCAGTATACGCCGGGCAATGACCTCCAGCCCATGTATACTTAGTACATCACCTCAGATGTGCAGCCCTCACAACCCAGTAATGAACCCCCCACACCCTCAGACCTGCAGCTCTCAAACACCCCTATCTTACATTTGCATCAACTCCCATACCAGTGTACCCACACTTTGGATAGCCACTCCTCCCACACCTTGCATACTCCAGCTCAGACCTGTGCACTTGTCTCACACTGTCTATGTACATTAAAAAGCTCACAACAACCTCCATCCCTCTAGTACCAAGCACTGGCCTGATATACAGTTGGCTTCAATAAAATGCAGCTCATATAAATACACACATGACCTAAGGGATGACTACATGGAAGGAACAGAGGTTCCACTTCTAGAAGTAGGTATACCCTGACCCAGCTATGCATATGGCCCTAGGCCTATGGTCTACAAATTTGCTTGAACCTACTGGGGACCATGATGCTGTGCCAGCTCTGTCAGGCTCTCCCTTCCCTCCTCCTTTGAGCTTTCTGTAAGATCAATGCCTACTGCACAAGGAAGCTGAGGTATGTCCAAAACAGTAAACAGTGGGATAATATTCAACCATGCCTGACCTTGCTCCATCCAGACCCTCTCAGGGCTCATGCTGGCTTCTTAGCCAGAAGCTAAGACTCAAGAGCAATGCTGTCCTGACTGTGTGCAGGCCTGCCACTTCTCCCACACTCTGCACAGATGCAAATGCACTCACCAGGAATGTGGATCTTGAACTTGCCACTCTGGCCGAAGGCACTGTCGATGACGCCCTGCTCCCCTGTGGACAGCTGCACCTTAAGCCCCACAAAGAGCTGGATGTTGGTCTCCTTTTTGAACAGGGAGCGTCCAATCACACTGTAGTCATCCATTACCTGTCCCCACATAGGAGAGGAGGCATTAGTAGTGCATGCGGAGAACTGGCTCTGGGGTGGTAAAGTGCTGTGCCCACCTGTTTACTGTTTACATCATTGTGTATGAGGTGAGCACAGCCTGGCTGTATTTGTACCTAGCCTGCCAGAATCTTGTCAATTAGAGCTTCATCACAGCTGGAAGTGAGACTCCTCCTCTACCTGGCTGGTTTTGTCCTCTCCAACCCACTCTGCAGATGCTGTACTCAGCCTCTAAGTCAGACCCTACTATAAGAAGTGCTCCTCATTCTGGCAACTGCTATAGAAAATGCATTCACAGACCTCTCAGTCATGCATGCTGCTTCTGGGAAAATGTCCTCTATTTAGATATGCCTATCCAGGTGGGAAATGACAGCATACAGGCTACTCACTACTAGTGTCCAGTAACACAGGCCCTGGATCAATCCAAGTCCCAGCCTATATGCAGAAAAATGGTACATGGCTCCCACTGGCCACACTGACCACAAAGAGGAAAAGGTATGAAGGACACAGGGCCCTGAGTTGGCATCAGCAAAGCTGTGTGCAGGAGGGGGTACATGAAATCAGAAGAAGCTGCTGCCTCAGGGGCAGGGCATGGAGTGCCTGAATTTTCCACTATATATCTTTCCTACATTCTGATCTTTGAAATGAATGAATTAATCTGCTCAAAATTAAAATTAAAAATTAAGCTAGGTGGTGGTGCTACACGCCTTTAATCTCACCATGGGAAGCAGAGGCAGGCAGATCCCTGTGAATTTGAGGCTAGTATGGTCTACAGAGCAAGTTCTAGGACAGTCAGGGCTACACGAGGAAACCTTGTCTTGAATACACACCCCAAAAAACCAAACCCAAACCAAAACAAAAAATTAAAATAAACAGGTAATTATTTGTCTTCCACTCTAAGCAGGCACACCTATTCTTTCTTGATAGCCACAAGTAGAATACAGTCTCTTCCAGTCACTTCGAGTGGCTGGTTCCTTCTGAGGTATATGCCCTGGGCCACTGGACTGTCTCCTGCTAAGATACAGAAACATCTCACTGCTACTAAAGATGCCTGGGTCTGGCCAAGCACCCTAGATGGATTGTTTTGAAAAGTAGAAACTGTCTCATTTACCCTAAAAACCTTTGGAAAAGCATATCCTATTCTCCTTGATTCATAGCAGTAGATAAAAGGGACCGCATTCCTTCTCTCCTGGTGATTGATGAATTGGATACAACAATGATAAGAATTACAGTCTCCACTTGTGCAGCCATCTGTAACTCACAAGCCTCTTTCCCACACAGCAATTCCTCCTTTCCCTCTGAGATAGCTCCAGCAAGCTCCCCCAGGGCAGCCCCTGCTCTTAAGGGTGGGTCTACCTACTTGGCCCTCTGAGCCAGGAGTGCTAGCCTTCTGCTCATTGGTATCCAGGAAGTTCCACTGATCAGGCTTTAGGAAAGCTGCGCCTATCCAGGTGGTGGTGGCACACACCTTTAATCCCAGCACTTGGGAGGCAGAGGCAGGTGGATCTTTGAGTTCGAGGCCAGCCTGGTCTACAAAGAGTTCCAGGACAGTCAGAACTGTTACACAGACTTCATCCTACCTAAGGAGTCAGACTGGAGGAGCAGCACACAGGGATCTGGCCCAGGCCTGCCAGGCCCTTTACAAAGTCTATGCTGAAACGCAGACCAGCAGCCGGCATGATATAGCTCCCTTCTATACGACCAGGATCCCGACGCTCACTGGGACAGATACACCTGAGACTCAGACTCCCTCCAGCATCACTTTGTCCAAGAAATAAGGAAGGTAGTCCTTGGACCAAGAGCTCATAGCTCACTTTGAAAGCATCTTTTAAAAAGCATCAACAGTAGGGCATGGTGGCATGTGCCTGTGATTCCAGATCTCAGGAAGGCTGAGACAGAAGGATAATCATGTGTTCAAAGAGAATGTGGGGTGCTTAGAAAGTTCAAGGTCAGCCCATACTATATACTACTAGTCAGACCCTGTCTTTAAAAAATTAAAAGTTTGGCTAGGCAGTGGTGTCACACGGTTTTAATCCCAGCACTCAGGAGGCTAAGGCAGGTGAATCTCTGTGAGTTCAAGGCCAGTCTGGTCCACAGAGCAAGTTCCAGGACAGCCAGAGCTACATAGTGAGACCCTGATTCAAGAAACAAACAAACAACCCACCCCCAAAAAGTTCATTACTGAGACCAAACCAATAATAAATTCAACCCATAAGCACCTGCAGATTCTCTTTTGCCTCCTGAGTGCTGGTATTAAAGACATGTGACACCATGCCCAGGACCACAGTGTTGTTTTAAGAATCCAGGTAAAGGTGTGGGACTAGTGGGCCCTTTGTGGCTTCACCAGAGCCTCCAGGGGCTCCATCTTGCTGGCTGGCTTCAGATCTGCTATGGCAAGAGTGGCAGCTAAAAGGATTTTAAATCCAAAAGAAGGGTGTCTGTCATTCCTGGTTTCTTGTTTTATGGCCTGGTCTGGAGACATACTAGCACCAAGTAGGTTCATTGTGTCCTCTGAGTCTTCATTCCCAAGTGTAGATTAAGCCCAGGAAGGGTGGAGACTGAGTTCAACCCCCAGGTTCCTGTGCATTCCCTAGACACTGGTGGCCATGCCTGCTTACAGCTCTTACTATCACTTAACATAACTGAGTGGTCATAAAAGACTTTACACAAAAGACTGAGTAATCTTTGCTTTGTGTCAGCCTGACACAGGAGACTGAGGGTGACCTAGGGTGGCACTATGAGTGTGCTTACTCCTGAGGACAGTGCTGGAGAGCAGAGGAAGCCATCAAGTCCATTTCACCACAGACTGTCAGGTGGGTCCTCTCATGCCGCTCAGAGCCCAAGCGGGGGTTGTTTTGTCTACTTTTCACAAGACCCAAGGGGCAGGGGAGATGTCTCTGCTGTGAATGAGTCCAGCATGGTTTTCTCTGATGTCTTGGGCCTATGTTAACTGTCTGACTCAGTGGTGCTGGAAGCCTAGCCCAGGGGGACTGAGAAGCCCCAACCCTGCTTACCCCAGCTCAGGGAAAACCCTGCCACAGTAGAGGAGATGGTCCCTATCTATTGTCAGGGACTCTACTTTCCACAAGTGTTCTAGAGGGAGGAGGCAGGGATGGAAGGTGGAACTGGCAACGTAATGAGATCTAGAGACTAGCACCCTTTCAGGCTTCCCTGTCTAGTTGCCCATGGTATGGCACTCAACCCAGAACACATCAAAGAAGCCCAGTGGTCCAATTCACAGACTCTTGCAGTGAGAGGAGAGCACAGAGAGCAGACACCAGTACACCACAAGGAAAGCACTGCCAGAGCAGTTGGAGGGCTTGGATTCTGAATCAATCACCATGTCAAACTGAAGGCAATGCCTGTGGGGTTTGCTGGTAGCCTTGTTCCTGGGGACAATGCTGAACACAGGCCAGCGGTCACAATAGCTCAAGTGGGGACTTTCACTGCTTGCATGAGTAATTTGCTTCATCTACCCGCAAGTGGTTGCTGGAGGGATCAAGCTCCCTCAGCAGTTACAGCTGTGTATCCACGTCCAGGCTCTTGCTGCCATGCCAGGAGAGTCCCCATTGTCCCCAGCTTTTGAGCAGGGACTTGGCTGCTGGTGCACATAATTATGTCATTACATGTGTCTCTCTTCCAGGGCTTGGTTACCAGGATGAAGCTTGGGAATTGCCCAAGTTCTGAAGCTTCAACTTAGTTTATCGTGCAGGAAGGGAAGTCACTATGAAGACAGTTGAGCCAGGCTCTCCACTAGAGTGAAGGGAGAAGACCCCCTGTCTCCAGAAGAGAAATGGCTCTAGTGGCTTGAGTTCTGGCCCTGTCTCTTATGGCATCATGGCTTGAGGCAGGGGACTTCTCTGAACCCCAGTATTTTCATAACATATGTTGTTAGGGTTAGGACACTGATACTGGCCAGAACACCAGACTTGATAGCAGAATGACCATTAGAACAGACTCTGCATTAATGAATGTCACACTGAAGTGGGGGATGGAGGGACATGTGGGGCAGGTGATCTAACATACCTAGAAACCCTAGATGCAGTTGTCAGAACTTCTGGACAGGAAGGAGGGCAGGATCACACTCAGCATTCATAGTCAGCAGGGTACCCCAGTCTCTACTTCTCCCTTCCACTCTGGACAGTATCCTGGGAGAAGACAGGGACCAGCAGTCTCAGGAGCAAGGGGCTCCTTGCTATTCAGGTGTCACCTCTTCCAGTCCACCTGAAGTCACTGACACCGACAACCATAATGGTGTGCTCTTTGCGTGTCGGCAGAAAACACTGTCCTCTTCCTCCTCAGCAGCATGGCCTGGTGGAAAAGCAGAGGCCCTAGGGTAACCCATGGGATGGGGCTGGTTCTTGCCTCACCACGATAGCACCCAGGCAAGCCAATTCACCCTGCTGTGCCTCAGGCTCTGCTTCTATAAAACCAGACACAGTTCTCTGCTTCTCAAGGCTGCTGCAGGGATGAGACAGGTTTCTGGCACCAAAGTCTGTGAGCAGTGAACACCATGATCATATGCCCGGTGTCAACCCCAGGACAATAAGTTAGCCTGTGATGGTCTCACCTCATCAAATATGCTCCAGAGGCTCAGAACCCGAGACCTGGGCTGCCCGGGATGGTAGCAATACAGGTTGTTTTCCTCAGGCCAGGACTCCTTCCTCTCTGGACATTCCTTACCTTTTGTATATGTGCAGCCATCACTTGAGTCTCTCTTGGATAAAACCTATGTTGGAGCTACAGAGGTTCTTTGTGATGACTCCCTGCCAGCTGCCCTCCATGGGGAAAAGGAGATGAGTATTTTAGAGCACTATGTGCCAGCCACTTGGCCTTCTCAACTCCCCACCACAGTATTCTTACAGAGAATCCATAGCCATGCTAGTTGGGGCCCCAATTCAGTTCTAGTTTCCAGACTAGCTTTCTACCGTTTCCAGCCACCTGACCCTGCATCTACTTCTGAACATGAATGCAATCGCCAA